TATTCGACACGTGTTGGACACGTACATGCTACGCTGGTTGTAGTTGAAGTGTCTGTGCTACGGAAACGACAATTATTTTGCAATTTTTTTATAAACTGAGAAGACTAAAGGAAACAAAATTCAGAAAACCAAAACGAACTGAAAAATAGTTCTGGACGAGCAGATTTCACCATATTTTCGAAATCTATACATTTGTTCCAAGATATTAATCAATTAATATTCCGGCTGCTGGTACCTTATACTTGAAAAATGTAAGATTCTTGTACTGGACACCTAAATAATGGGAATAAGACCTTTTCTTTTAACCTTTTGATGGAACTGTAAATGCTCATAACACAAAATATTCACTTGGAAGCTTACCCTCAATCAGAGAATCCCACTCGTACAGACAAAAAAGTAAAATTACATATTGCTATTGCTGTTTTCATTTTAATATAGGGTGTACATTTTTTTAGGCTGATGTATGTCATGCATATCAACTCCTCAAAAAAGGTGGTCTCAAAGAGGAAAATATTGTAGTCTTCATGTATGATGACATTGCTTATGATACCGAGAATCCTAGGCCTGGAGTCCTTATTAACAACCCTCATGGTGCGGATGTTTATAAAGGAGTCCCAAAGGTTTGTTTTATTCTGAGCATGTAAGTAGCTTGTGGAGTATTGAAATTGAATTTCCTTTTCCTCATGAACTGATTTCCTTGAGACAGGATTATGTTGGAGATGATGTTACTGTTAATAACTTTTTGGCTGTAATCCTCGGGAATAGAACTGCACTCACTGGAGGTAGTGGAAAGGTTGTGGATAGTGGTCCAGATGATCATATTTTCATATTCTATTCCGATCATGGTTCTCCTGGGGTACTAGGTCAGTAGCTAACCTATAACTCTTTTCTTTTTTATGTGGCCATTTATTGGCTTATGTTTTTCGATACATACTAATCTATTTTAAAGAAATGAACCTTGTGGTAGTAATTTATTTTATGTAGAAAAGAGTATTTTGCATTTTGTGCTTGAACTTGACACATAACTTTATTGACGGTATTTCCTTGTATATATGTAGCACTAGAATGATTTAATATAGCCAACTTATTATTGATTACCTATAGTGTATAAAATCACACTTATTATTGTTTGTCTCGAGTTTTCATAGGGGACAATTTTAAGATTATTTATCGTTGCAAACTCTCTATTTTCATCATGCAACTCAAGTCAATTTAACTACTCTGTTAGTTATCTAAGGCTAGCTAACTGTATCCTTATCTTTCATTGTGCCGTATGCAACACCTATCTCTCAGTTCTTAAGACATCTGGAGGTAGGTCTACATCCCTTCCAATTTATAAGCAATGGCCCGAATGATTCGAAATACGTTAGTCTGGGCAGATGCCATAGTGTATTAACATGGAATGGAGATCACTGCCAAGAAGGAAATTAGAGAAGTTTAAAATTGCAATATAGATTGCTGACCTATGTTGGTAATATAAAAACATAAACCACCATGCACATCAAGCTTCACATTTTCATTGTAAAAAGGAAAAAGTTGTTTTTACAAATATAGTCACAAACTTTTCAATCTAGCGGACCCTACTTTAACTTTCTAAATTCAGAAGTTTACACTTCTTTTATTAATTGGCATTTGTGTGTTTGATTTGTGAAAATGCACGTAACGCAAAGCACTAAAAATTTCATTTTCCGTTTTAGTGATGTGTGGTTAGAAGAATCGCACTTGTTTTTTCTTTGTCGGCACGAAAACTTACTGATTTTGACTTTTTGCTTTCAGATTACCATGTCATTTATCTCAAAGCTACCTTATACCTTCTGTTATTCCCTTTCCTTTTTGAGGTGTGAAGGATAATTGGCATTTTCAAAGATTGGCGGTCTTTTAGAAGTCTTCTTTCCTACTTTGTCCTTTCATTTGGATATCACTAAAGCTTGAATTCACTATCAGTTTTCTTAGAGATAATAGTTATACAAGTTGCTTATTTGTTTCATTCTCATATGTTGTCAGGGATGCCTACCCGTCCTTACCTCTATGCAGATGACCTGATAGATGCTTTGAAAAAGAAGCACGCGTCTGGGACATATAAACACTTGGTAAACTATATTATAAATTTCATTGGACGAGTAAAACATTTTCTAGTCAAGCAAGGACTACAATTTTGCTGTTTTCTCCCCTTAAATAGGTATTTTACCTTGAAGCTTGTGAATCTGGAAGTGTCTTTGAGGGTCTTCTTCCTGAAGGCATGAATATATATGCAACCACTGCATCCAACGCAGAAGAGAGCAGTTGGGCAACCTATTGCCCGGGAGACGATCTTAGTCCTCCACCCGAATACGAAACCTGCTTGGGTGACTTGTATAGTGTTGCCTGGATGGAGGACAGGTATGCATTACTTATTTATTGTGTCTGTCATCATTAAAAGATCAACACAGATATTGGGAAAAAATTATTTGGATCGCTAGTCGTGATTTAGTTGGCTTGTTCAAGCTTCATCTGCTGGAAGCAGAAATATTAATTGGCTAAGCAGAATCAGTAGCATTATATAGTGGATAAATTAAAGGAAAACAATAAGGTTATCTTGATGATAATAATATAATTTCGAGGGGGTTATGACTAGTATTTATTAACCGTATTTGGCTTTGTGTTCGTCAATTGACATTCAAATCTCTGTCTTCATGAGCAGTGATATACACAATCTGCGGACTGAAACTTTGAAGCAACAATACCAACTGGTAAGATCTTGAGCCCAGCTACATGTTCAACTTGAGCAGTTTGTTTAAACTAGTTCCACTTAGGTAGCAGTGAGAAAATTGAAATTTCAGTGTATTCTAGATGTAGAAATGAACACGAACACTTGACGTAGCGTCATTCATCCCTTTGCTTATGTCTTGTGGATTTATTATGTTGGTATTTTTAGGTTAAAAAGAGAACTTCAAACGATAATTCTTATTACGGATCCCATGTCATGCAATATGGTGATCTAGAGCTAAGCTTGGAGCAACTTTTCCTGTATATGGGTTCAAATCCTGCAAATGATAATTTTACCTTTGTGGATGACAATTCCCTGCGGCCATCTTCAAAAGCCATTAACCAGAGAGATGCTGATCTTTTGCATTTCTGGGATAAGGTATGCACAGCTTTTGTTTCTACCATATCAACTCCTTTTTATGCTTCAACATTTGTTTCTAGATGGTAGCCTTTTGGGGTTAATGTGCAGAAATTGTGTAGAAGCTCCAAGAATTCCTGAAACAATGTAACTTGTACCATAGTTTGCTTAAAGAATCAGATGCAAACATATATACACGTATATGTAATATGAATCAAATTTTTGCATTCCTTTGATATTTATGTATAATTGATGTGCTGGATAAATTCATCCCGTGACACTGTTGATTCGAGAGTGAGTTTCAAGTTTCGATATATCATCACCTTTCGTGGGAAAATCTTATTTACTCATCCTTATCCCACATGGCAGTTCCTCAAGGCTCCTGAAGGCTCTGCTAGGAAATTTGAAGCTCAAAAGCAGCTTGCCGAAGCTATGGCACACAGAACACACGTTGACAGCAGTATGAAACTTATTGGAAAACTTCTGTTCGGAATCGAGAAAGGTCCTGAAGTATTGAAGACCATTCGGCCTGCTGGAAAGCCTCTTGTTGATGACTGGAGCTGCCTTAAATCCCTGGTAACGTTCATAGCTCATTCACCACATTAGTACCATACGTACCCAATCTACTTGGTTTTACTTATTTTAGTTGGTAAATTTGATGAGATAATTTAACATATCGAAGCATGTTGAAGTCCTGGGATCAGCATATTCAGGATGGTAAGTGAAAAACTGAACCCGTCTGGCTCATGAGGGGCTGGATTGAAGACTAAATTTAAACAAACAAAAGAGTCCCATTTCTAAGCCTTTGTTTGATACCCGTTTTTCTTATAATACATTTTTCTCTCTTTTCTTTTCAACCACACATTCTTCTTCAAAAAAAAAAAAAAAAATTACACGCAAACCCAAAAAATTTCCTTATTTTTTAACCACGCATTCTCCTTTTAATTTACTATTCCAAAATGCATTNATGGAGAATGTGTGGTTCAAAATGAAAGAAAAGTTATTGAGGTGATGGAAAATATTATTTTATTGAAGAATGTGTGGTTGAAAATGAGTAGAAGAATGAGAATGAAAAAAATAATGTGTACCAAACAGAGCTTAAAAATGGGAAGCAAACAAGCTTTAATAGTTTAAGCTTTAAGACAAGTGCTTCAACATAAAACATACACATACCACAATACAGCTCTTTTGACACAACTTCTATGTGCAAGTCCTTTTAGACAAGGGGGGTAGCAAAATTCAAATATCTCTTTATTGAATAATGTTATCTAACACCAATAGTATTGGAGCATTAATTTAAGTGTCATAATGCGATAGAATTGAAGTTATGTGATTCATTTAATTGTGCCAATCATTTAATGCCACTTAGGTACCACTTGGATCGGTGTTGAAACACCACTGGTGCTAAATGGCATTACCTTTCTTTCTTAGAATGTATTGATTTAACCCCATAAACTGGCCAAAAGAATGTTATTTTTATGGAGAATTATCTAGCATAATTTCCTGTGCAGGTCAGAACATTTGAGCAGCATTGTGGATCACTGTCCCAATACGGAATAAAACATACGCGTGCCATTGCTAACATCTGCAATGCCGGCATTGGGAGGGACCAGATGGCTGAGGCAGCAGCACAAGCTTGTGTCAGCTTCCCTTCTAATTCTTGGAGCTCTCTCCACAGGGGCTTTAGTGCATAATTTGCTGCAGAATCCTCTATTGGAAAGAGACTCGGGATCTCTCTTAAATATAATAGTTTGTTTCTTACATGTATGTAAATAGATTACGATTATGAAGTGAATTTAATGATATATAATGGCTTTATTGTAAATGCAACTGAGAAGCATACCTATCTGCCTGCTTGATTTCTGTTTTATGCAAGTAATGTTAGTTATGTAAGTTTTTGGGTACTGATTATGGGTATTCTTTAAAGTACCGATTTTATGAGTTTGTGAGGAAATCGATTATAGATGGATTTTAGCCTTGCTAGGGTTCCATAATTTTAAAATGCATTTTTCCTTCTCCTTTCAACTATATATTTTTCAATAAAATAATATTACATATAAATTTAAAATATTTTCTTCTCTTTTAATCGTACATTTTTAAAAAATTACTATTAAAAAATAATTTTTTTTCCCAAAGTCTAATTATAATGGCGCTCAAATAACGGCTTAGTAACGATTTTAAAAATAATTCAATTCAAGCTTATTATTTATCGGTTTTGAATTATTTTGTACAAAATAAAATTAAATATATGCCCCTTAGTAAAATTTTCAAATTATTATTTTTTGTATGAATTTTTTTTTTACTTATAATTGATATTTTACTTATAAGTAATTCATTTATATACAACTTAACATAAAAAATTAAATATTTGCTTATAATTATATATTTTTACTTATAAGTAAATTATACAGTTATAATTTAAATAATTTTTACATATGAACTAATTTTTTACTTATAAGTAATTTCTTTTTATATTTTATAAGTGAATATTTTTTTTTATTTTACACAGGTGAATTTTATTTTATATAACTAAAATTTTTAATTATAAAGTTCTTTTTTTTTTTGGCTTATAAATAATTTTTTAATTAATGTATTTTTATTTATAAGTTAATTTTGTACAGAATATGTTAGTTAAAAATAATTAATTTATAAATGTTAAAATTAGAAGAGAATCTAAGAAACGATAAAAAATTCACCGATTTGTTGGGTTGAGAAAAACAATAAAATTTACACTATATCGATATTGGATTAATTTTTAAGCCATCCAAAATCAGTAGCAAAAAAATTAGCAAGAACCAATTTTCCAAAAAAACGGTGGAAAAAAAAAACAAAATAAATTATTTTGATTTTAGCTAGACGAAAGAAACTAATCTAAGACAAAAAAATAAATAAATAAAATTATAAATCATTATAAAACATAAAATATTTAATTCGAAAAATCACCATTCACGTCTATTACCATCACAACACCAACCTAAAACACAAATATGACGCCCCATCAGAACCAAATACTAAATTACTTACCATAACTGTCAAAACAAACAAATCACCTAAAGTAAGCCAAGCCGATTGATACACGTAATCAAATATTTGTTCTACTGACGGTCAACGAGATTCACGTCCTGAGCGCAGATCCAAATAGGAAAGAAGCAACAGCGATTGCGCATCCGGCAGCGAACTATGACGAGGCTAAACTGGCTGAGGAATCCGGTGCCGGCGCCGGCGACTCGATGGCGACTGAGCTTCCTACAAGAGCAGAAACTGTCACCGCCACCAATAACAATGCGACGAGTGAAGATCTAGAGTATGACACCGCCATTGTGTGCGTAAGTGCGTCTATCTGATTCTCCGTAAGTGCGTGTGAAATAGACAGAGAGATGAATGGGAAGAAAATAGTTGGAGTAGAGTGAAATTTGAGGGGTGATTTATAGTGTGCACAGCTGCCCGAGAGTAGAGACTGGTCAGACGGTCACTTTTAGATACCCTAATGTTTCCACATCCGCGCGGTTGCATAATGTGAACATAATTAAAATTTCATTTTCTGTGATTTTTAAATATTTTTTATAATCTAAATATATACACATATATTTCATCAGATGTGCCTTTTTGGTATATTTTATTTTCAAAAATTCTACTTGTATATAATTTTTATCCACAAGGGTTAACATAATACTCACATGGGGTGGGACCCATGTTGACGGACCCACAAACCCCATATGAGTATTATATTAACCTTTATGTGAACCTCAATGTACCCCTATCACTTCTCTTTTATTTTATGATATGTTCTATGGAAAAGATTATGCAGTAGTATGAAATAGTAATTAAACGGAAAGTAGTGCTATTGGTTTAGGTGACATTAATGTAATGTTAAATGATAGGTGGAATTAAACAAATAGTAAGTTTATTATCGTTGAAAGTTTAATCCCGATAAATGTGGAAAAACAATAATAATTCTTTTTAATCGGAACGATAATCTTTTCTAGATCACCACACGATCACATAAGTATTTATAGTGAAATTTTTGCAGCGCGATTAATCTTTAATCTCATCCTAGCAGTATGAATTCTTTCAATTTCTTACTCGATTAACAATCTTGATTTTTTTTCCTTGAATTACCTCCAACTCTTGGACTTTCATTAGTATTTTTCAAGGTTGGATTGCACCTGATGAATAGACAGGGGCGGATCCAAGGGTGGGCTGCACTGGGCTACGGGGCGGATCCAAGGGTGGGATGTAATAAAAATTAATGTTAAATGGTTGTAGCCCACTGTTTAGCCCCTGTTTAGCCCAATACTAGTCAATAGCCCATTAGCCCAAATGAAAAACCATTAACCCAATTAATTCCCAATGATCGAATTCTTCAGCATTTCCCAAACCCTTCACTCCGGTTTGAGCATCAGCCATCAGCAGAGCAGCCCCTAGGTTTCACTATCAACCAAAACTTTTCAGTCCTCCTCCTCCGTCGGGCGAAGTAGCAAACGGGAACGACCGAAGCTTGAAGTCTTCTCCTTCAACCAGTCAGCAGTTAGCAGAACCAGGCAGAGGCTTCAGCATTCGGTTTCAAACCTAAAGTTCTTCTCTTCACCGCTTCTGCGCTTCAGACTTCAGGCTTCAAACTTCGGCTTCTTCAACAATCAGCACTCAGCAGGCAGCATGTCATTTTATTTTCAAGTAAAACTCTTTTGTTTTATGATTTTCATTTATGATTTATNTCATTTTATTTTCAAGTAAAACACTTTTATTTTATGATTTTTATTTATGATTAATGAATGATTTTCTTGGGGATAAATTGGGAATGATTATGATTTATGAATGATTTATAAATTGGGGATACAAATTGGTTTTAAATTGATTATAAATTGGGGATAAAAGTTGGGGATAAGTTGGGATTCACTCACATCATCGATTTATGAATGATTTATGAATGATTTTATCCAATTTAATGATTTTTATTTAACTGTGAATATGTGCTTGAGTGAAAATTGGGGATAAAAGTTGTGATAGTCATTTACAGTTACAGATTGCTCATTTAGGCTTTAGCTGTAAATCTTGGGATTTTTATTTGTTCACATGTGATGTGATGTTGTGGATTGTGATGATGGACATTTGGAATTGTGAATTGTCAA